CCGGGGCTCCTGCGGCGGGAGCGGCCGCCGGCCGGGCCCCTCGCCCCGGCCCTGCCCCACCTGCTCCCGGCGGCGGGATGCGGCTCCCCGCGCTGCCGGCCTCCGTCCGGGGGGGCTTTGGAGGCGGCGGATTGTTGTTTACATGGCGCGTGCTCATCACATATTCAAGCCCATTAAATCCCTGATCGATAATTGCTTTTTAAATAATCATTCCGTCATTCTTTATGCAGCACGTTTCAAGGGAAATAGCTTTCTTGTCTTCCACAACGCTGCAGAGCTACAGAGCAACCAAAGTAGCCTTTCTGCGTGTGTGTGAGAGAGAGATTTAGGAAAAGAGCATTTGCTGGGCGCTGCATTAATACCCCTTCCCCATCCCATTAAGGTGTCTAGTTGTTGCTCTCCCAGTCGCTTACCTTGGGTAAAGGACAGCACTTCTATAGAAGGATGCTGGATACAAGATCCTCATCCCTCTTCCAGTTCAGGATGGCACATGAGTATTGCATGAAGTGCACACGACTATTTTAGGTTGATTAAACTCAGTGACATAAGTTTGCAGTGATGTGGGTGAACCTACCTTTCAAAGTCTTTTGTGCCTTAATCTCTTAACTTGCTTGAGTGGGGAATGTGAGATCAGGTTCTGTAAGAAAGAAAAAAATCGTTGGTCTCAGCAGAGGATTGTACTCATATCTATACATTCTGACTCTTCGCTATCTTATTTTAATGATTTAAAATACACTATGGGTTCTTATATAATGTATTTCCTACTGCATTTCTCTAAGGAAAAGTTCATTTATACTAGGAAAATGCTCACACAACCAGTTGATTTTTCCTGTCGCTCAGCTAGTACTGAAAATACTTTAATTGCTGATTTAACAGCAGAAGAAACATTATTATTCCACATCTTACTGTTGTTGCTAGCACTCTTGCTGTATTTGAGTAATTATAAAGACTGTTCTTGCCTGGCTGAAGTGGCCCAAAAGGCCCTTGTTGCTGGCAGCTGTATGTATGGCAGTTACTGTTGCTGACAGCTGTGTTCATCGGGGTCAGTGGAAAGACTCCCATGACTTCACCGAGGTTTGAAATTGAGAAACCGAATCTAAGTTTGGATGCTTCTAAGACATCATAATGCATTGTCATTGAATCATTCAGCTAAATGTGTACGTATCTTTATATTTCCTACGTAGTTACACTTGATTTTTATGAAGACTTAATACTAATTATAAAACAAACACTCTCCAGGCAGAAAAACTGCATAGTCAGATCCGTAGTTTTTTAAAACCAGTGATGTTTTTCCACTGGGCTGTGAATTGGTTCTTATAAAATAAGAATGCAAAATAACACAGATGATTGCCAAATGGCAATGTTATGGTCCAATATATCTCTCATCACCTTTTCATACTGTACTTGCTTTTAGAATAAAAGCAAAAGTGTTCTCAAAGCAACTGTGAAAACAGGTGGACATTAATTAGAATCTTTTAGGCTGAAAACAACAGGATCACATATCAAAAGGATCACATATCAACATGTGAAACTTACAGCATGCCTGCAGAAATGCTGTAATGGGAGCCCTGATAAGTTACGCTTGGAGTGATTAAAAACTGCCATGCTCCATGATGACTTCCAGCATACATCACTCATATTTGAATGAATACTATCTTATAAAATGTGTTTGCATTATTGTAACCGAAAAGGATTCCGAAATGCCAGTTTTGGACCCAGACTTCTCATTCTGGCAGCACTCGGGTCCATTTGTTGTGACATGTTCACTGCTATTTTTAACTTATGTAATAAGAATTTAATCTTATTTGTTACAAACTCCATCATACTGAAGGCACTCAAAAAGCTTTATAGCACATAATAAATAATGCTGGTCGGTAGCTTACAAGCACTCTATTTTTTCCCCCCTCTAGAATGCTACTGATACGTCACATTTTGGATTGTACAAGAATGAAATATAAATAAAGCCATGGAACTACAGAAGAAATACTAAAGATGGTGTTTTCACTAGTGCTGCTATAACAAAATAGAAATACTTTGTGATAAAAGGCTACTTAGATAAAAATATAAAACATATTTTTTAGAAAAGTAATATTTAAATGTCAAGTAGAAATAAAAGTCCATATCCTATCTGCTTCCCATATCAAATTCAAAAGCAGGATATGAACTACTGAAAACAAATGGGGGAGAAAAAAAGTCACTGAGGGAACTACACCATATTTGCTCCTGTTGTGCAACCATTCACAGCAGCTCCATGACTTTCTTATTTGTGGAAAGGGTGCTGTTGTGCAACCATGCTCCATGACTTTCTTATTTGTGGAAAGGGTGCGGTGAGGTAGAAACGTGCAACTTTCTTTTCTAACTTGCCTGTGGCTCTAAGATTGAAGTCACCTAGCAGGGAAAAAGTCAGGCAAGCGTGAGTGAGTGTGATTTCCAAGTTCAGTGCAAGTACATACAGCTAAGTATATGTTACATCGCAAGTAATAGTCTATCTGGGTATGTGAGTAAGTGGAATCTACTGGCAAATCTCTACAAATGTATCTTAGGAACTTTCATAACTATACCAAGTTCCCAATTCACAAATTGGCATGGCTCCACAAGTAAAGATGCTCAGTGCATACCTGTGGTTCTTGTGTACTGCGTACTATTTTAAATTCTGTGTGGCTGTTCTTTATTCTGCTATTAATTTTAATAGGCATAGCATGAAAAAAACCCAATCTCTCACATATCTTTATTGTTCTTGTACTTCTAACTTTGTCAACTGTCTTCCTTACCAGCCGAGATGCCTCGACAGTTCCCAAAGCTGAACATCTCTGAGGTTGATGAGCACGTGCGACTTCTAGCAGAGAAGGTATTTGCTAAAGTTCTCCGAGAAGAAGACAGCAAAGATGCCTTGTCACTATTCACCGTGCCTGAAGATTGCCCTATTGGGCAGAAAGAGGCCAAGGAAAGGGAACTGCAGAAGGAACTGGCAGAACAACAGTCTTTGGAAACAGCTAAAAGGTTTGTTCAGTAGTGGCTTTCTTAGTGGAAAATAGTCTTTTAAATGAGCTTGAATTAATATTGAAACATCTGGTAAATAACATTCTGCTTCTTATTACTTCAGCAGAAGGTGAATAGCAGGTACCAAGGGCACCTGTATGGTGTCCTTCTGTGCTATACAGAAGGTGTAGTGGTAGGCCCTAGGGAGCTTGGATTGGTGAGATTGTCTCAGCTGCATTTCCAGCAATAACATAGACATTGCTTGTGCAAGTTTAACAAACAAAATAGCTGGGTAGAAGTGAACACAACCCTAAGACTCTTTAATGTAAAAAGAGTCAGAAAAAGAAACATACCCTTATTCTAGTTTCATTCAAAGAAATGGAAAATTTTAATGCAGAGAAAATGACAGTGATATGATGCTTCTTTTAGTCACTGTAAAAATAGATGAAAGCAAAGACTTGATATTTAACATCAAGGGAGAAGGTAAAAAGTAGTATTGGCATAAAGAGGTTATTAGTAGGTTTCTTTAACTCACAGAGATAAAATCTAACCACTATCAGCCATAAAAGTGTATATCCGAGTTTTCTCAAAAAAGAAAAAGTACAGTCCACCTTTGAAGCACCCATGAATCAGTCACCCATGAATCTAATGAAGCCAAAACTTGATTTGGTTTATTATTTTCTTCTGTGAGAGAGGCAGCCTTACCCTGATATCAGGCTATTCCAGTATCTTAACGTCAGTGGACTGGCTAGACTGTTTCCTGGAGTCACGTGAGCTCAGCAGCAGTCTGACACCACATGCCTTGGATGTGTACAGACTCATCAAAAAGCAGGCAAACAAGGAAGCCTTTGAAAGTGATGGCTAAACACACGTACCCAGTTAGCTGCAGACAATCAGTTGGGCAAGGCTTGGCATCGTATTTCTGCAGCAGAGAGGAGAAGAGTAGATTTAGTTAAATTAAGGTATGACACACCGATAATACAGGCTGAGACTTTTGGTTTTGAATTGTACAAGTGGGTTTCCTGTTCATAAACAAGGACAGAAGGGAAAACTAGATGGTTTCATTCAAAGAACTATTTGGTATATCTTTCTTTGAACTAGCACGTTTCAAATTATTATTAAAATAATTTGGGAAATTGTCTTACAGAAATACTTTCTGTCAAACTGTACTTCGAGGACAGTTATACGAGGAAAACTTCTGTTGTTTTCAGTTGCAGTTGATCAA